CTAGTTGTTGACAACCGCTAGAACGCTAGCTAACAATTATTGAAAAAAACGATTAATTGCCAAAGTAATTAGGAATCCGAATTTCGGAGTAAATTATCTTTTCTAGATAATCCCCCCGAGCCTTAAATAAAAACATTTTATAGTCTGTTTCTCCTTAAGTGGAAACAGATTAAAGCATTATCTAGTCTCCTTACTTAAGTAGAAACAGACTAAAGCATTATATACCGGTAATCTCTCCCCTGCACTTCAGGGAATATCTCCAATTCATCAATTAGACAACCGTTTCTACTCTCAATCAATCAACAGAGAAAACTAGATCCATAGAACTTCAAATCCTTTTTCTGGTGGTAAACAATCAATTCGAATGTCGGGGAGATTACCAGAATACGTAATTGATGAAGCAACTGTTCGGAATTCTATGGAATAATTCTTCAAGTAGTAAAAAGAACCGAAGAAAATAACTAGCAATACCAGTTATTCTTATGATTATTTTTTTCGTTCAAATTTCAGTTAATAGGATGGCACCATTCGACCTAGTTATTCGGTATTCGACTGATAATTTTTTGATAATTTTATCTCTTACCTATGTATAGGAAATAAAGAACTGTTTAATCGAGCTAGCCACTCGTTTCAATTGACAGATTAGATGGAATTTTGGTTTTCAGGAAAGTTTCATAAAATTAATTAAGGATGTCTTGTTGATATTTTGTTATTTTTCCTGTTTTTCTGAGATTTATTAAAAATTATCGATCAGATTGGGATATGAAAATATAGCGTTTGTCCGTTCCATCATGATTGACTCTTTCACAAAGTTTCATCCCGATACACTAATTGTTGTAACTTTTCACTAAAATTTAAGGCCCGGGTGGACTGTCTGGCAAAGATAATTTACTCCAAAATTCGGATTCCTAATTACTGTGGCAATTAATCGTTTTTTTCAATAATTGTTAGCTAGCGTTCTAGCGGTTGTCAACAACTAGGCCGCTAGCTAACAATTATCGAAAAAAAGATTAATTGGCGGAGTAATTAAAACTCCCAATTTTGGAGTAAATTATCTTTTCCAGACAGCCCACCCGGGCCTTAATAAACAAATCAGTAAATTTTAGTGAAAAGTTATAAAAATTGGTGTATCGGGATGGAAATTTATGAAAGGATAAATCATGATGTAACGGACAAGCGCTATATATTTATTAAAAATATAAAAAATAACAAAATACCGGCAGAACATCCTTAACTCATTGTTTTTGACATGAACTTTATCTCTCGGTGAAATTCCGTCCGCTGAAATTCGAACGAAAGAATAATCCCCCGGATACAATTGGAGCTTCAAAGTGAACCGGATATATCCCTCTAGGTCCCCAGCAAATCAACGGGTTTGTTAATTTTGTGGGGAAAATCACTCGCCTCCGCGTTCGTAATTTTTTTATCTTACAAACTTGACAGGTTTGGTTTGCAACGAACCGATAGGGAAATATTCGATAATTTTGAAGCTCTTGTGGTATTATAAAGTGATAATAGAATGAAAAAACATTAATCTTCAATTATTGGTTTAATTTTCCAAGCAACAGATTATTATGAACGTCAGATTCCTGCACAGTCTATCATTCGAATGACGCAAATTGCCGAGATATTTTATAATGTAAACAGTCTACAACGGAGGCACTTTGTTGACTTTTCGGAGGTGATTTTGTGGAAAGATTTTATCTGATGCTAGAGATCAGAAACATGCAAAGACTGCTATACAATAATGATAATGAATAAGACACTTGAAAGTATTTTTAATCAATGTGTTTTTCATTTAATTGTCGATGGTACTGGATTTAGTAAGACTCTGCCAAACTATTCTTCGGTTTCAATAAATAATTCATTTGCCAGTTATCAACGGATAAATTATCAAAAAATATTGACACCGCGCCTATACTTTCTTTTCCGAGAGATTTAAAATACTTTCCATCATCAGAGAGATGAGAGCCTGGATACTTCACTTAAAAATGCAAAAATCCACAACAGGAGATTTACGAGATTGCAATAATTGTCGTCAATAATTGATTTGTTTCTCCTCAATAGTTTGACTGAGAGAATTATTATTACCAGATAGAATTATTAGGGTCAACTCACCTAGAGACAGTAAAATCAAATCCGATATTGCCAAACTAAAAAGATAGTAATTCGTCGCACTGCGCATAGTGGAATTTTTTATTATTACAACACAAGTGGCAATATTACCAACAACTCCACTCACAAATATTGTCACATATGCCAATGTCAACGGAATCACAAGCTTCGGTGGCAAATGTTTTGGTCCTAAAATTCGACTGAGGTATTCCTCTTCCGTCAAATTCTCGTTATTCAGAGAATCCCAAAATTCTTCGTATTCCTGTTCTTGTTCAGAGGTGAAGAAATCCATTTTACTCGTATTATATCAGTTGTAATCATCCAAATTACAGAGTAATATTCCGTCGTCAAGTAACCATTGAGATGAATGAGTTGATAAAATCAATGGAGATGGTATAAAATGTTCTCATGATCGTTTTTGTCAATAAAAATCATTGACGCAATTTTATTTATCATTCAAGTTTCAATTTTATTCAATAAAAACTTGAGCATTCACTTTCGTAAAATGTTGTGACCGTTTGATAATCCCTTGACGCAGGATTTTGGAGACGAGCATTAAGTAATTACACTAATTAAATTGAGCATTGATTTGCAGTGATACAATTGAAAATCAAAGTCGGGGAATTCACGTTAGCTGTTTACGAACTCGTGCCTCTTGATTGTTCATTTCCCAGTAAAAAGGAGTTATCAACAATTTTGGTCGGGTAAAACTGCAACTAGAGTAGATGGAAAGATTGCCTTTGCCTATCCCTTTTCTACTCGACTATTCCATCATGAAATCCAGCAGAAATATAGAATCCCGACAAAGTGATGACTCCGGAAAGTTCATTTGAATGGTTGAGTAATTACTCAACCCAAAATTCAACTCGCATTCAACTCGAAATTCCCCATGAAACAAGTGCGGTTGTTTTTAGTGCGCTTATATTTAATGAATAAATTCTCAAAGGGGAGTCTGCACTTCATGTAAATGAACACTTAATAGAACGGATTTTAATTAATTAGTGGCAGCATTTCACTCCAGTTTAATGAGCTTTTTTTTAACAATACAGGCCATCAAAAGACATTGATAAATATGCACCAACTTTCACATCCAGATCACAATTGATACTGTCACGTAGGTACTCCATCCACAAGTATATCTTCACCGAGACATTGATGACAATCATATTTGAGCATGAACGGTTATCACTCACCAACACAATAACACGTAATGAAAAGGTACATTCGGATGTTTAATTTTTCTATCTTTATTAATTTATCATCAACCCATTGAAGAATATGACACATTTGGCATGGAGAGTCGAATATTTTTCAAGAATATCTTTCATTCATTATCTTCTACTGGAAAAAAGGAACAATGAAGGAAATTATAAAACATCTAGACAAAGCAAACGAAAGAAATGAAAAATCAATTGTGTCTGACATGCTCTTACTGAAGTCTGATGCATCTCAACACGATTTAAATGTATGATGTCATTTTCCCCGTCTGCATTTCCGCATAACAATTATAAGACAATCAATCTCATGAATCACCCGAAGTCATACTATTTTTTTTTGATAATTTAAAAGTCCATTTAATCTGGAGTATTTTATCAATAACTCAAATTTGTCTAGCTAGATAATTCTGTCAAGTTTGTATTGTCACTGGTGAATGAATCGAATAAAGCATTCCCCGCCGTAGCCTTGAAGGGCCTACATAAATCTTATTGAGAATGTCAATAAAAACATTCCGTTGTAATGAATTGGGTTGCTCCAAATTGAATGGATAAAATAAACAATGGTGCCTTTGCCGGTGTACTGCGATCAAAGAGAGCAACAAAAGAGCATTTGAATTATTCCATTATTCAGCTATTATCTCATAAACTTTATCGAATGATAGAATTCGTATCATATCGCAGTAATCAAAATCTCATTTTATCTCGATTTCTCCCACTTCATGTAGTTGTCTGTCGTGGCATTGCGAGAGTAAAGTTTATATTTTTCTGATTAATTTGCGAGTGAGTATTTACTCGGTTTTCTTTATAGTTGTCGGACAAAAGTGGTTTAATTATCATTTTTTATCCCAGCAAACACGACATGCCAGAGCTAGATATAGATTTTCATCTAAATAGAGTAATAGCAACAGAGGATGGGACTATGGGAACAGTGATGTGAGGTTTGCATATCGTTCTAGTAGACCATCATAGAACTGAGATTAGTCAGAGTTGGGGTTCAAATCGTTTCGTTTCCGCTTTGATGTCAGTCTGATAAGAGACGTTGCAACTTTCTACTAGTGAAACGCATGCTGTGGACATGTTAGTGGTTATCATTTTCATGACCATCGATTGTATCATTTATAACAGTAATTGGAGCCTCTGAAGTTTCTGAAGAACATTGCGTAATGATTCACGTGGAGAATTGACATTTGTACAAAACTGATTTAACTTTTTGTTTAATTTAATTTTATTCTTTTATAAAGAGATAAATATTCAGCGGAATTTACATTTTCATTCATTCAACTGGGAAGTTATGGAGTGGCCAAGAATCCACCAGTGAAATTGAATTTCTGTCAGTGAAAAATCAAACTAAAAAGTATTTCCTTGATACCATTACATTTTTTCTTCCAATATTTGTACAGATAATAACGATTCGCTTTAAACTTGCGCTATTTTACTACTGCAAAGGTAAGTTTTTAATTTCCATTACGGGTAGATGCATTTCCTAATGGATGACATGGTACAGTGAGGGAAGTCGTCAAATATCTACTTTCGGAGTTTCCCCTATTTTTCCTTACCACATCGTAAAAAATCTGCATAATTTCTTCTGAGGCCTATATGTGTGCAAATAACTTGAAATTAAAACTTTTCACACTTGATATCTTTTGGTGTCTGACGAAAACATTATCCACGAACTATTGATCTTTTACTTTCTTACGAACTGTTTATAACTGACAATTATGCGTCAAAATAATGTATGCATCAACACGATTGTTCGCGTGTGACATTGACATACTGCATAGACGTATGTGTCGTACTTGGGATTACGTCATAAATTTTCTAGACCGCCCTAGGGAGTCCAGTGATGTGGAAATAATTTTGAAACATTGTAGTCAAGCTTTAGAAAGTTTGCGTGTACCGCATAGTTCCTTCAATACCTCGATCAACCTCCAACGTAAGATCGTCAATAATGAAGATATTTATTTACACTCTATCGAAGTATTTTCGATCATGTATTCTATACCTGAGTTGTAGAAATCAATTTATTTTGGTGTTCATATATTTATCTTAATATATCCTAATATAAAATCCTAATAAAAAAAGGAAATGGAGAAAGGAAGGAAGGGAAATAGATCTCGAATATCTCGAATATCTCGAATATCTCGAAATATCTCGAAATATCACGAATGACCGAATGATAATTTTTCCTTACCGTTATTTATTTTTACTTGAAATTTTTATAGAAATTTTTGAATCGCCATCACGCAGGGTAGATTCCATCAAAAAATACTCTCGATGTATAACCGACCTAGATCAAATCGTGTAACAATTTTAATATAAATTCAAAATGATGGATCACACGAGTTTGCTAATATAGAGAGGGGAATTGACCATTTGTCCATCATAGCGGAACATGATGGCTGGAATGGATGTTTCCGGGGATTTCAGATTATTGAAGCAATTCCAAAGAAAATGGCTCTGGGGTCTGAAAACGAAAAGTAGGTAACCACTATTGATAATAAATGGAGAGAAATAATTTTTTTTTTAATATTGGTGTAACTTACGGCGAAATAGTAATTTTTCTCCAATATGAAGAAATGTTTTCCCCCAAATGAATATAGAATATAACTCTTGGTTTACGTTAAAACTGAATGAAGTTCGCAAATTAATTAATTAATTAAAATAATTAATTAATTAAATAATTAATTAATTAATTAACCTAAGTCTTGATGAACTTAATAACGTTGTCAGTGAAAATATAAGTTACAATTTATGTGTATTATCTTTCATTAAAAAGATGATGTGTTAAAGAACACTTGCATGGAATAAATATTTTTACGGTTGCGGATCTGAAATTTTTTTGTTCCCCACCTGAAAATAAATAAGAAATAATAAGTAAACCTGAAAGATATCGAGATTTTTCATGACTCAGGGGGTGCGTTGCATGGACGCGTTGTCTGATGGGCCCCATTTAAAGACATTACACCAGAATATAGTTTGGAAAAAGGGAAAGAGTTTCACTCATGAAATATTTCATGAATACATTTTTTATGCATTGACCAATTTATTGATCTACCATGTGCAACATTTCATGTAGCCTACCAAGTGAAAACAAAAGTAAAACATCTCCAAGTGACTATTTACTGTTAGAAAAAAAAATTACACCCTGGTTTTCAGGTACCGCACTTGCGGTAGATTGCATTTATAATTATAATTATAATTGCTTATATTAAAATACGCAGAGGAATGTAATGGTTTAATATCGTCATGTAACTGTGACAGCTAACGAATTGGAATGGTTTTAACAAGAAAATTATTAAAAACAATTGATCTGCCCGTTTTTCCCATTGAGAACGAAAAAATTCGGAATCAACGACCCCAAAAACGGAAATTTCCCAAAGTTCCTCAAATTCCATTTTGGACACCCTCATCATTACAGGAAGTGCATGGGCGTTCGGAAATTGAAATCTTGGGTGAAGAGGGCCAGAAGCTTAATTGCAAAACTTATTCCAATCCCCGATATGCAGGGAAACACGCAGGAAATATCCGGTGAATTCTGGAGATTGATGAATACCTGGAAGATAATTTCCTCAGTTCCACAAATATTTTATTTTATCAATTATTTCCAATGAATTCTGATAATGTAATACTGAATCCAAATACTGTATTATGATTTGTCGAAATCAGAATTCGGGGAATCATTAGTTGTGCTGATTTTCCATTCCTCAATTCTTAGCAGAACTTATGACACCTAATGGACGATTGCGGGTAGAAAAAAAAGGATAAAAAGCTCATAAACACAAATCGTATCAAAAAGTATTGGACTTTTTTTAGATAAACCCAGTTCCTATATAGAATATAAACCATCGCCCGACGGGTGTCACGCAAGGCATGTGTGATATTAATCGATACATGTTTAAATCACATTTTGATAGTCGGAGATCAGGATTTCAGTCAATGATTCTCGTCTAGCGCGATGAATTTTTTGACTCACGCATGATAAGTGTGAAAATCAATTGGTTTTTGCATTCTCGTACTTTAATTGATAATGAAATAGACTAGATAGAGTCAATGAAACTTTATCTTAAAAACCTTCGAAGCAGTCTGACATTGAGAATCAAATAGATCGGATCACCGTTCTAAAGTCGCTGGAGAACACATTCGAAAATGGTAATGATCGTTTTCCATTTATCACTAGATCATTATCAGGAGTCAAGAAAAGACATAACGGTCTGTATATCAAATGAGGTCAACTCACTTATTGATTTGTAAAGCTTATATCCATTATGTTCGTCCCCGAAGAACAATGAATTATTCTTGTGACACTGAAAACATGAATCATACGAGGGGAGAGAAGATAAAATTAATGAATTAATTAATTAATTGCTCTCCTTGTATGGGGATGAATTAGTGATAAAGCTTCGCTTCTTTTATGATTTAATGGGTCCTAAAGCGGTACGCGCTTCGTTTTGGATATTATATATGGAGAATAAAAGTATCGAAATGTTTTCCGATATATTAATCAAGGGAAAAAAACGAAACCTAGTCCAATAATATTCCGAGCTTCGTCCTCTGGATGATGAAATATTATGGGATACCAATTTTTTTATTGTCAATTCAACAAAAGCCTGACTCATTGCTATTCGCCCGAGCTGGACATTCAGTTATTTCACATTCATTCGTAACGACACCTAAATATTTATTGAGTATATTTTGATGGGTTGGGAATAAATCGTTAAGAGATAACCATTCGTCCATATTATAAACATCATTTTTATTATCACTTTATTTCATAGAAAACGGAGATACTATCTTCAATGAACAAAAATCTCTAAATCTTTACAGAAATTAGGGCGATATGAATACAAAAATTGGTAGAGTAAAAAAAAATCAGATGTCCATTACTGTCACTGGGTATTTATTTTTTTCGGATGTTAAGATATCAGAATCGTATTAAAGAGATTCCTCACTCAAGAATGTTCCAAATTTTTCGAAAAAGTTGATAAATTCTTTCTATTGTATTCGTTCCTCTGTCAATTAATTCTTCAGTAATCATGTTTTTCTTCAGTCACTTCTACTTTTACGATATTTTCCTATTTTGAACTGAACTATTATCGGAAATATAATCACTAATTCAGACATACATTACTTAATTTCTCATGTTCATTGAGAAGTTCATTGAGAAGTTGATTGAATCATACATGAAATTTTCTATGAAGATGACAAAACAATATTACAGAAATGTGAATATTATATAACTCTACCCTTGAATTTACGTTTCCACTTTTACCTCCATTTCGTATATTGAAGATGTTTGTTTCAACGTATTTATATTTAACCCTGAAATGTCCAGTAATGGCAGAATCGTAACTTCGGTAAACTATCCCTATCCTCTATAAAATTATCAAAATATTACACGCCGATACCAACGATAAAATTACGATATACATTACGATATCTATTAAATTACATCTTTCAATCTGAATCTGAATTCTCTGAACTGGAATTCAAATTTGCAGCATCATGATCCGGGTTCGGAATTCTACGATTGGTATTCACAAAAATAGCCTCCTCCTCTTCCTCGCCAGTACTATTACCATTTTGATTCGATGCCTCGCTCAGTTGACTTGAATCATTAAATTTGTTTGGCCAACACCCCTGAGATCGATAATACCTTATGTGCTCCTGGAAAAAATATTTGAATTCAGTATCGCTGAAGGATGACAACAAAATATTATGTTTCAACGAAAGTACGAACTTTTGTAAGTATTTTTACAATCTCTGCCTTGACTTTGTCACCTTCGGGTATTGGCTCGACCAGAATGTAATCTCCCCTTTTGACCCATATATTCCTTCTAAATTTCACAGGCATGGAAACGAGATAGCGCAGTCCTGAGCTATCTACCACCTCGTGTAGATTATTGCCTCGCGAATCGACGAGTTGCACTATCGTTTGTGATTCCATGGGAATACTCAAGTCCTCTTGCACTTCCTTCGTCACATGCTTCCGTTTCGTAACTTTTGACATGTTCAATCTGGTAACGATAGTAAAAAAAAATGCCTATAATTTGTTATGGAATTGGATAGGCGACTATCAAAGTAAATTTTTGAGTGATTTTTTGTTCCATTACTCGTTAAACTTGTATAACTTTATTCCGCGACCTTTACAACTTTTTTTTTCTTCATTTGCGCCGTGTGCCATGGACCAAGTGATCCACCAGATTTTTCCACGGCTTTCCAAACGTCTAAACTTTCTCCTGGCGACACGCCATATCCATTTTCAAGTCCGTGGGGATTTGAGGGAGTTTTACAGTCTATACTGGATTCTTTTCTGAGAACTGAATCCACTTCGACAGAGGCAAAAAATGCTACAGACATGGGTAAATCGTTAATTCCAAGTCTCGAGGCGCAGAAGGATCTCGTGAGTAGGTTGGTAACGTGCATTCCCAAGGCCGCATTGTACTTATATCGTGATGGTACTATGTATCGAATTTCATCATGAAAGGAGAGACAGAATCTGGCGTTGTCACGCATTAACCATTTCATGCAAACCAGCATGAGATGAAGGAAGTCAACGGCACCGCTTTGTACAACCCAGTTGATTTTCGTTGGCAGATATTTGTCTTTGTCTTCCTCACCAACTTCTAGAGCTCGACTGAGCCGTGAATTGAGAAATGGTGTCACCGGGTGAAGACTCCCAGCTATTTCCTCGAGCCTGTTGAACATGGCTGACTCAGAACCTCCGGACCATCTCGTCTGCCCAAACATCTCTTCGACCTTCTTTCCATGAAGTTTAGCAAGTTGATAAGCCTCCCATGAGGAATAGTCACGATCCTCAAGGTCATCGTTAATAAATTCATCTCGAAGTTTATAAATCTTCTTCCCTTTCGTTATGCTGAACATTTTCCTCGCCTTTGATACCGCCTCAGACTCCCCCATGGACGGATTAAACTGTTTCAAAAGTCTCTCAGCGAACTTCATTCCCGCACCATAAATCCTTGCGTAATTTATAACTTTAGCATGATCCCGAGATATACCAACAGCTTTTGCTGTTACACTGTGCATATCCGTTCCTTTCGATTTACTTCCGATGAGTGTCATCCAACCAAAGGGCGTAGCTCCGTGAATTCCAGCACAATAGGAATCACCTATCAGTGAGGCGATCCAGAGCTCTTGGCTATCGACGTCAGCTCCTACAATATTGAAACCCGGTGGTGCTTGGACCATAGCTCTTAATTCGGATCCAATCCGCTCCGTATGAGCATTTGATGCGGTCATCCACGTAGGTTCAGTTGCTCTCCTTGTTAGAGTACCACTCACCACGACTTGCGGAATTATTGCACCATAACTAATGTGGCGATTGCCGCGAATAATGGATAATGGTAAATTTTCAGTGTTCCACCAGATTACCAGCTGAGACATTATTCGATCGCGATTATTCCTCCAATAAGAGACAGTTTTTGCTATTTGTAAAATCTCAGTGGCACTAGAGTCCAAACCAGCGAGAATATTCTCGGAAAATTTATTCAAAAAGTCCTTGGCTAAGGGATTCCCTACATTGAGACTCGGTCCATCCTTGTGAGGGAGTTTGAAGAACCAGCAGCAATTGTCGATATCAACATTGCACCAGATACCAGTGCCTTTGTAGAATGTGTCGGGCCTTCCGTCATTTTTCTTTGGCTTTCGTTTTTTGTCTCTCCAGAATTCTGTTTTGTGAAGGTCATTTTGAACATCTTTCTCAAGGGAGGCCATTGCGTCAGTGATGTCCTGTGAGTGACAAAGTTTCACAGGTAAAGGGCACTGGGCGAGTAATTGTTTCAGTGGAAGTTTTGTGGTGATGTCAGGATCGTCATTATATGGCACTAGGAAACCCCAACCGTGCTCTCTGATGTAGTGAATTGGATAGTTTTCCCAGGTTAAATTCAATAGTTTTGGAGCTATTTTCATTGAAGTACTGATGTTGTGGGGGCCAGGGCGCCAGTTCTCTTCATGCTGCTTCATACATAGTTTGCGGTACCAAGCGGGATAGCCCGGCATATGTGGAAACTTTGCGGGGAGTAAGTGCTTTGTATTTTTCAAGTAGGAAAATTGAGCTTCCAAAGGATCGGCTTCGTCTTCATCGTCTGTTAAATATTTTTCATAATCTGATTGCTGTTTTATTTCCTGGGTAGATTCTTTCTGCAAGTCGTCCAATTTTTTTTTCGCCACCGTTGACTTTGTCTTTACAGATTGAATACTCCAATCTTGATCCCACATCCACAAATCCTCTTTATATTTATCATTGTGCATAAGTTTACAAACCTCATCAGCTCTTTTTGATAGACTGACTTTTGCTTCGTAATTTAAATCTTCGAATGTCGACTCCGACTCTTCTATGTACCTTTGCCAATTAGAATTGACTGGTAAATAGGTAGAACCAAGTTCGAGCATTCCGGCAAAAGTCACTGGGTGAGGAAATCTCTCTTGAAAAAGAGGAAATAAATTTTGCATTACTTCATGTGTAACCACAACATCAGAAGCACAATAGCCCATCAATTGGTCAAATTTTTCGCGAACATCTGTGAAGCTCCCTTCGACAAAAATATCTCGTGCCTCTTTTTTATGCTTTTTGCCACAATAGAGGGAATAAACGTCGGCCAGATTATTGAGAGATGTGCAGTTTAAAAAGTCGTTACTTGTTGGCTCGTTCTTCTTAGAGAGCAATAAAGATCTCTGGTAACTGTTCATACCACTGACAGATATGTGCAGAGACATAGTGTCAACGAAACGTGTACCTGTTGAGGTCAACCAGTATTGTTCTTTGATTCGAGCTCTGTCATAACACACGTTATGCCCTACGATGATCTTCGGAGACTTCTGATATTCCGATAATTTTTTTCCGTGCTCGGTTGATGTACTTTCAATGGGTATCAGCAATTCAGGAGTAAATGAACGACTTTCTGCTGGTATACTACTTCCATCTACCAGAGCTTTGGCGACCCAACCATACCATGCCTCAGTACTTACTCCTGTAGCTAAAGTCGGTAATGGACCCTCTTTAACACACACTTCAACGTCGAAAATCAATCCATCTTCTAATGGGTAATCGACTTTCTCGGCTTTCCCATGGGAATATCTGGAATAAAAGGAATAGTGAATGAGATTTATTGATTGATTCATACTTCTCTATAGTGATATGCCCATGAATTAGGAATTTTCATATATTGAGTTCAAGTTTACGCAGGCAAAAAGTGTCGGGTATTGCGACAATTGTATTATTTCTTCATTTAAATTATGTGTATTTTAAAACCCTCCCTCCCTATGCAGATTCATACTATATTTTTGAAAACTATTATTTTGTATTTTCAGAAAATGGTAAGCATCCCCAAAATTCGTGTTTCCCAGGCCCTGCGTCTCGACAAATTCTGTTAGTCACGCCGTGGAATAAATCACATATCAGTAATATTTCATGTGAAGAGGAATGATTTGTTTTCTAGAGTTAGGCCTGGAAATAACTATGTCATCACCATGTGCCGAAGATCAACTATTCAAACACGCTCCATTTCGCTTGGCGTGCCTAAAAAGTAACTTTTCCGCACATTGTAAAGAATAATATTATTTCCACCTCGTGCAGAAAGTTGTTTTTGGCATGTGGGATTAAACCTCTCACACGTAAAAATCCCTTTTCCGCACTTGTTACGAAATATACTATTTCAAAATTCAAATGCCTGTGACTTCAAAAACTGATTGAAGTTGCAAAGGATTGATCTTTAATAAAATAATATTCAACTCACCTTGTCCATCCTTCCTGTAGCAACCATTTCTCCGGAGCTGGAGGAATATCTCGCAGAATATCTTGAACAATTTTCAAGTATGGCTTTGATTGAGTACTTGCTATATTGTAAAAGTGCTCTTCCACGTTCTTTCCTTCCAACTTTGGTAAGTCGATGGATATATCTGGCGTACAAACACTTTCATCCACTTCCATTCCAAATTTACGGAGTTCATGTTTTAAAGATGAGATTTTTTCATTGGATAAACCTATTTTTTGGTCTGAATTTATGAAGACCTGCTCGTGCAATTTTTTCGATAGCATTTGCATATTCAATTCATTGAATCGAGTTTCCTCTCCAATCTCTGGTTCATTGTTACTCTCCTTATTATTTTGCAATTTGTAATGCTCGATGTTGTCTTCTGAATTCTCCTGATTCTCCACTGAATAATTTGTCTTATTATTTTTCTCATCAGGATTTTTGTTTATCCCATCGTCCATCCACAGTGACATGTCATTCAAATTCTCAGGGATAAATTTTGGTACAGCTTTATTTGAATTCAGATGAATTTCTAAATTTTCTCGTCTTTTAATGTTCGTAATATTTGAGGTTAGACCACTCGAGTCGACAGCTCTTTTGGTTTTTATAATTTTCTTGAAAACTTTCTTGGCAGGAAAAAAATATTCTTCACCACTAACTGATATATTAGAGCATTTATGTCTTGTAAAAATGTTAATCAATTTTATTTTCGACTGCATTTTCCTCGTGTGCATTGCTATGACGGATCCACGAGGGCCATGAACACGTGACAGAATACCAGATCAGTGTAACGAGAATTGTTTTACTGTGTAAGATATTTCATGAATATCACGTACCTTTTGATTTTCTGATGATTACAAATCTATCATTCGTTGAGAAAAAATCCAGAGGAATGCCAGGAAATATCATAAATTGAATAAAACTATCAGTGCTACAATGCACAGGTGCATGACGTTTCGTTGGCGATCCATGATTACTTCCTTATCGACAAAGCACCTTCCAATAATTCAAATCATTTTTTCTTTTTTAAACAAGTGGCAAGTGGAAAACTTTTTTTAGTATTTACATTAGTTTCTTTTTCAAATTACTAGCAATGTGCTTTCAAACTAATTCGAACTCTTCAAAGAATGTAAACAATTTATATTATTATGGTTAATCACCTCCATGGTTAAATTTAATCAACTATAATTTCATTTTTAGTGCAAAATTCATCCCGATCGTTGACACACAGGAAAATTCATACCCTACACATAAATCTTTCGCTTTTCTATAAGTGAAAACTGAAATCTTTTCACTTACACTTGAATATTAAATTATTATAAATGTTATTAATTAATATTATAAGTCCGTTATTTAATTCTGCCCCATTATTCCCACTGCAGTGAATAAATAAATATAAATTAATGGTTAATTCATATTTATTGAATGAATTCACGAACTGTATAGAAAGTTTTTATACGTGGATAGAAATTATTTGAAAAAAGTGGAAAATATCCGGAAAACTAAACCAAACGGAGTGGCACTTCACGTTTCCCTACACCTTTAGTTATTTTCCTTCTTTACACTTTTTAGTTGTACAGAGTAATCGATTCTTCATAATTTCATCTGCGGTAAAACATATGACGTCCCAATATTCGGTCGTCCAAGGCGGTATTTGAGTATTGAGTGCATTTCCAGTAGTCGTCTGCACAAATTTTCCGGGAGATTTTCCACTAACTTTTCCACTAGGTTTTGGATGTCTATGAGAAAAGGGACAGATTATGCGAATTCAATTCTTTCATGCACTTGATTATTTTTAAAGCAACAGCTACGATACCCTTTTCGTTGCGGTTTTGACAATCCTTCAGGCATTTTAGTTATTTTCCCCCTTGCCTTTGAGTCTTGATTGACTTTTGACTCTGGTGCTTCTCTTGGAGTGATCTTTTTTCTAGTTCCTAGATTCTTTTTAGTGGGTAAATTATCGGGAGGCGGTGGGAATGTCGTGATACCAGGCCTGCCTGGTATTCTATGCCCTCCAATAGAAGGTAATTTAACTGGCACTCTACATTTTATCTCCGAAGGTTTTCTTTCTAGTTGAATTTTGTCATACTCTATATATGGATATTCCACTGAAAAAAGGTAAATTTGAAAAATTCAGGAAACATTTGGAGTGGCAAATAATTGTATATGCATTCATATAAAATTTTGTAATTCATAATCCATTTTTAATTGACTTTTTTAAATTTATTTTTTTAACGGGGAGTTTCATGGACATCAAATAAAATAGAAATCCAAAATAAAATCCAGTTGAACGTACGGTAATTCCATAGTTTGTCAACATAAATTAATAATTCAAGAATATTTCGAGTTTTTATTTATTAGAAAATCCTATTATCTGGCACGACATAGGAATTTGAATTTAATATATTTCTATCCTTTTTATCTCGATTTGAGTTCACTACTAGCTTTTATCAAATATTTTTCAACGCACGAGAATACTTTCGTTGAAATCTTCTTTTATCGTCCATTTTTTTGAAGACCGTTGATTTAAATCTTAAATGTTTTTTCGTGGGAGTTCTGTAAATGTTGTAAATATTTTTCAGTGGTTTGTGTATAAGGTGATCTTGTAGATTAAAATTTGAAATTAATGTAACGTCAGTAAGTCTGATAAATCTGTTTTCGTTGGTCAACTCCCAATTTTTAAGCTCAGAAACATAAAATTTCGTGAAAATTCGGACATTAAATCTCGCGCATAATAAACGAAACGTAATTATAATCCTCACCTTCGTCTAACATTATCGACCACAAAACACACTTCTAGGTCTATTTACGTAAACTCTTTCTGAATAAGAGTTAGTACCAACGGAAAAACTCAATTGCCTGTTGATACGTTTGATAGTTCCATTCCGGCAAAAATAATTAATTCCATGTGACGAGTCTCATAAAATTCTACGCGAAAATGAGTATTTTATATTTTGTATTTTGAATTTACTTTTGTCTCTACACTCAACTAATCAATTTGCGTTCGCTCAAAAAGCCTGAAGGGGTGCATATAGTATTCTTTGAGGTAAACAATCAAAGTTAGAATACGCAGTGTTCCTGAGAGTTCCCAAAAGTTACGTAACGGTTTGAAACCTCACCCGGGGGCTGATACCAAAATTACATAACGTTGAGTAGAAATTGTGCGAAAAATTGTCATTCTTCCTCAACATTATGTAATTCTCGCTCTGTTTTCAATAAAAATTTCCAATAAAACATATAGGCACCACTTTTCCTTCGCGTACACGGAGAGAAATATTTAGTAAAAATTACGGAACTTTCAGTTCACTTACCGATTACGGAGTTGACTCGAAAAATTTAAGTGACGGTATCGTTATTTTTCACCGATAATTCAGACAAAAATTACGGAACATCGCGGAAAAATTCCGTGACTTTCGATAAAAATGACGTGACAGTTCCGTAAAATTTCCGACAACCACATTTCGCTCCAGAATTACGGAAAATCCACGTAATTTTTATTGAATATTTCTCTCAGTGTACGCAACGAAATAATCATGCTTCGGATGGAAAGATCTTTTTTACTGATTATTGAATTCACATGTTCATCAGTTCAATACTCACCCAAATGATCATAATCTATTTGATATGTACTCTTCAAACGATCTTCATGTATTATCCTGAGAGTATCGTAACCAGGCATCGTCGGTTCTTGGAGATTTGCTGATTCTCCTACGGTATTCATCCAGATTTTGGCATCATTACATTTCATTGATTTTCCTGCACAGAGATCTATATTCGTATTTACTGGATAAAGTTTGGGCTCTAGAAGAAATCCCATCGGTCCCAAACGACTCCATTCATATGAATCAGATTTCAGTGGCATTTCACGTTCATCTTCCCCGAACTTTTCACGTAATGACTTATTACAAGCGACTCCTTCAGAAATTTGGGATAACTGTGGAGTAATTTCAAAGTTCACTGAAGGTCCTAGAATATTTTTTACGTACGGCCATTCGTAGTCGGCTTGGTAGGTGCTTGTGATATTTGTTGCATTCATAATTGGATTTTGGTAATTAAAAGTTGATACAGCTCGTAATTAGTGCTTTCAATATCCACCGTACTGGAAAATTTAATGAGTCTAACTTTCTCATTTCCTAGAAGGTTATTGTGTCAAAATATTTATCACACTGAATAAAAAAAAAGAAGGCAAATATTCCAGCGATATGTTTCAATTATAAATGTGTGGGAATTTTCCAGTTCCTCGTGCAAATGACAATTGTTTCTCTGAGCATTTTTGGATTTTAACATTTCAGTCTTTTTCCAACGCTTTTCCATCACAATTGGCGAACCTCCAACACACATAGCTCTCTCCACATCAAAATCACAGCTGCAGTGCATAGCGGAAGCTGAATATATGGGGAAACAAATGAGTTGGCCAGTGTTATCTTATTCCTATTATTTTTTCAAAGATGCGTAAAAATTTCAAGATTACTTTTCTTAAAATCTATACATCTAAAATTTCACTCAAATGAGTCGGACATTTCATCAGTTGACGATGATTAATCTATGAAAGACAATTTAGAAGTTGAATTCATGCATGAAAAATAACTCGTCGAACTTATTCACGCAAAGTGGATCACTGATTCATCAATTATCAATTTTTCCTCATAATAATGTCAAACTTTAGAAAACGTCTGAACCAATAGGACTCTAAAGATATCGCTGTCGTCCAACGGTAGCAGAAATAGAATGACGGCGTCATCACGATCCTCCAACTCAGAGAATAAGAAACAACAACGAGAATTAGTGGTGATGGTTTATCTTATAGGTTTCTTAAGATAGCTACATCTCTATGAGTCAATCATTTGAAGAGATCTCGATATTTGCTTCCACCCGGAGGCCCTGTATTCACTGTGCAGTTGGGAGGAATTCTGATTTCAATGAGGAAAACCATCGATTGTCCTGAAATTACTGAACTGTTGGAGAATTATCCTTAAAATTTCACGTCAAAAAAACTTGAAATTTTCAACTGCGAAGAAGTGACATGCAATTTCTGTAGAATTTTTCATTAATGAAACAGTTTATTTCTTGAATAGTATTTTTTATGAGAGAATAATAAGGCATTTTAATTAATTCATTTCAAGTGTCATTATTCAACTTCTTTTTTCACCCAGTATGAAATAAGAATTGCACACTTTAGTGTTTAGTCTCACGCAATCCGATCCCATTTATTGGAGCAACCATGTTTCTCTGTTGGCACTCGATGTGAAGAGCTACGGTCCTGTCGACCCGAAGGGACACCTTTTCTCCTATTATCAAAAGGATGAACATCGAGACTATCGATATCTCTTAAGGCTGTAACGGGCACTCCTCATTGGTTCAGTTAATAGTTAAGTTCGGTTAATTTGAGTTCAGAACTCATTCTGAAATTTTCAATCGTCATTTTTTTATCATCTTTTATCATTTTTTATCATTTTTTTAACGTCGAGACTATCGATATCTCGAAAGTCTATCACGCTCATGCCTCATTGGTTCAGCCGCCTGAGACGGTTAATTTGATCTGCCTATTATAAGAAGCAAGGACATCGAGAGTATCGATATCTCGAAACTCCGTCACGCTCATGCCTCATTGGTTCAGCCGTCTGAGGCGGTTAATTTGAATTCAGAACTCATTTTGAAATTTTTAATCGTCATTTTTTTAACATCTTTTATCATTTTTTTATCATTTTTTTAACATCGAGACTATCAATATCTCGAAAGTCTATCACGCTCATGCCTCATTGGTTCAGCCGTCTGAGGCGGTTAATTTGAATTCAGAACTCATTTAATTTTGACATTTTCAGTCATGATTTTTACAATTACCCCGCGCTGTAGCACGCGTTCGGTCTCGTACACATAAGCTCAAATCATCTTGAAACTGACAGGCTGTAACACATATATACCAGATATTAGTGTTCATGCTCTATATTCCTTCATACTTACGAAAGACCTTAACTTTTATGCGTTTGTAACATAACGAAGGCTGAAAAACACTTCTAGCACTACAACCAGAGAATTAATACCACTTAGTGACCCGGAGAAAATTCGAACTTCCAAAATTCGAAAGCTTGTTCGTAATTCTGTTAAACAGCCTGTCAGTTTTTAGGATGCCTCCGTAGAATTTCGCCTGAAACATTGAAGAATGTTACTTAACAGACGTGCATGCAGAATAACTGGAATTTTTAATCGATTTTCCCTCTGTGAATATACTAATGTGTAACTGAAACAGAATTACCGTAATTACTCCCCTCCTTCCACAATATCCTATTCCCTTTCCCTGGTTTGCTTTCATGCTTCCCTCAAACATGCTAATTTCTACCGTAAAGTTCTACTTTGCATCAAAGTGAATAACTTATGTATAGAACGTATGGAGTAATTCATTTATTTGTACAATGTTGATAATTTTTCACTCAATTTTCACGTTGCTGGGATCACGTTGCTGGGATTTGTATGTTCAGAGTTCAGTATGCAAGTTCATTTTACCAGTTCCGTCTGCACACAGTATTTCGATAAATTATATCAGCCAGGGGATGGGCTCTACAGTGACATTAAAAAAAAATCTGTCACAGATTGGTTGACTCCTCCAAAATTTATTTCACACGTAGTTCCTCTGTCTATTTCCTAAATTATTTCCAGCAGTTTCATTTCAGAGTATATCAGCTAGTTTTATGCATATTCTATGCATATTGTATCCATAAGTATTCCAACTTCTTGCATATCCTGATTGTATCGAAGGATGCCCATAAAGTTTGGATATGATTGTGTAAAGTAGTCTTTGTGTTTCGTGCGTACTTATAATGATGAAGAGACAGTGAATATCCAAAATGTCACAGATAATTCCAGAGATAATTCGCGAGAATTACCACGTCTGACGTTCCACGTACAAAGTCGTCGTAACAACTGATTGTTAATGAACCCCGAGAATCCAAAGTTCTCTTAAAAGAAACCAGCGTCATCGCGACTGAATACCGAGAAAGACGTTTATAACCCCTTCTAAATTTTGCGCATCGTCCTACTAGTCCGAGGGTTAGATTTAGCAATACATATGTTTCACATTAAATGTAGCGTTCCCTCGTAAAAATTTCCCGCACTTTATAATTCCCGTAAAACTTTGACATCACTTTGGGAGTAGTTAATTTCGCCACCAGACAACAGCGAATTTTTCTCAGGAATTATTATGAGCAATTCAATGTTAGATGAATTCTTCCAACAATTCCACTCTTCGGTGTCCTTTGTTACGCTCTGAAAAAAGAATTCACGGTAATGAAAAGCTTTGTTCTTTGATGATAGAAATATCTTTCACGTACAGATGGTGGTGGAAACACTCATGGAGATTTCGTTGATTTCACTGTAATTCTTTCATGCACGTCAAGTCAACCGCTCCACAATCAAAAATAATGATGTTAATTTTTATTAAATTTTCTCTGTGAAAAGTTTTTTTCGGAATTAAGGTGACGTATGCTTTTGAATGAATTAAACCACTTGAAAGCCGAATATACTAGGATCGAGCATCAAATATACATTCAAGTATATTTTTTCGTGCAGGCACGGTTTGTACTTGAGCTGATAAGGTATGGGCCGAAAAAATCTGACAAATATATTGTGTGAATCACATGTAATTGCTCTGTCAATGGTTATTTCTAGGTGGATGAGCTCTCTGATTGTCAACAATGCACCAAAACCGCTAGCTATCCCATGGAGGATGATGTTACGGTATAACAATTAATCTCTGTGATCTTTACAATGAAAATTCTGTGCCAAGATTGAAGGTGGCGTACGACAACGGTTTTTGTCGCAGTGCCGGCTCAGTAGACGTCTCATGAATCCCTGCACATATGTAACTCATCGGTGTCTCACTCCCCTAGCCAATCTACCTTTCTCACTTGGTACAGTTGGAAGGACAGTGGTTTTAAAATAGGCCCCATCGTCCACGTGTATGTGAAAACACATACAGAAGAGGATGCCAATGCTAAACGACTCGAGCTCTTTCTGCTTTCTCGCAGTCGTTGATCGTGTACTGTATCCGTAGCAACCCCTTCAGTTTTCATCCAAATTTCAGCACTCGTGATTTTTTGTGAATTATTGAGGTCCTATCGGATATAATTCATCTGGTAACACGTGGTAATTCGCTTGATTTGCTCTTTTTACTGAGCATTTTCGCTGATCGAAACGACCAATCCGTGATTAATGCAGGATTCGACTGAAATTAATGATGCTCGTTGGACAATTCGTCAGAGTTGAATGAAAAAAGTTACACATCTATTTTTGAATACTGATTAATCGAAGTTGGAAAGAGGAATCGAACGAGTAGATTGTGAAAATTTTGTCATACCCGCTGCCAGTTCATCCACCTGGTTTCCAATTCCAAGGCGAATAATTAATTACTCAGGGTCTTGGCATTATCGCGCAAGCAAGTAATTAACCAGAAAATTACAAAGTGAATTAACGTGAGTTTAGATTATCCCTGACAGCCGAATAAGTGGAGGATAGAAAATAATCAGTGTTTATTTGTACAGGAGATTTGTAGAGTCGAGTGTAAATACCTTGGCCAATGAATTTCCCAGCGTGAATAACGGCGAGAGTTTATTATTTCAGGGATTGAAACAATTACCAGTGCAGTATAAACGTAATAGTGCGATCACAATCGATATATATCTCGAAAATTTCTCTTAAGATTGGTGTACCTCGAAGAGTGAGGAGAAAAAGAAGAAAAAAAAAATTGGTGAGGTGCTAAAGTTTAATTGAAATGAAAATGTGAGCTGTGATAAAATCTGAGAATACGGATGTCTGGCGTTACGTGCGTCAGAAGAGAAGTACGTTTTAAATCTGCATCCTGGAAATCTACCCCTGATTTGACACCCATGGGAATTCAAAGCACTGCACAATTTGTTGAAAAGTACCACCATATTATCGGTAAATATAACATTTTCAATTAAATCAACAGGGGAAAAACCATATGAAAAATTAATATCGATGCTTCAATTTTTTTCAAAATCTTAATAAAAAATCGAACACGAAAAAAATCAACTCCATTCGGTCTTCTTTTATTGTTGAATCAGGAATTTTTAGATCATTAGATTTTTCAATTGAATTCTGTTTGAAATTGTTGACAATGGGTCCTCAATTATTCCTCTGTTGTAGTTTATTTAAAAATATAAATATTAATGCAAACATATCCCATTTTTATACCGATCTGGACGTCTTGACAATAGAAAGAAGTTCATTTCGTCTTGCTTCCATTTGCTGATATATGCAGAGGCAGTTGTTTTAATTAATTTCCTAATTCCTAAATGTTTATTGAAACAAATG